ATACTTGACAAAACGTGCATACAAAAAACGGATATGTACAAATACATAAATTATGCAGTGGAATATAGGCGCTCTTATTTTTGGCAACTCCTTAACACTATTTTCTAGGCAAATACTATACACTTCTGCCAGGGAAACCGTTGAGCTGGTAACCCCTTAGTAGCCGAAATCTCAGCATCAGTAGCACAAGCAGACTGACCATCAAGCAAATGCGAAATATGGTCAAAGGAACTGGAAAAACAAAGTAAACTGCTGAATTGGAAAATCAAACCAAAAAAATGCAGCTATTCAAGTATTCTAAGTTTTTTTTTGAATGAGTACTATCAGACTACTTTTATCCATCGCAATTTTCCAGCAGTACAGGCAAAAATGATCAAGACGTCAAGAATCGTGAAAAAATTTTGACGAAGATGACAAAAATCGTGGAAAAACTTCGATATTATAATCCCCAAATCGAGCGATTGTTTTGAATGTATTTTACATATAAGATTTAAATTCGAAAATAGGTGGTAATCATAACATTCACAATTATAAAAATACCTTATTATTCCGAGCAATAAAGGACTGGAATACTTGTCGAATTTTAAATAAAAACACGACCAAAATTCTTATTATAAATTACCGGCCGCACTATCTCTCCATGGTAACGTCAATTTTTTCGCGCACAGTAAAAAAACTACAGAGCGATGTCCCCTTACATAACTGCACTCTTCACATTAATAAAACTGCAAGAAGAAAGCTTAACTTCTGGAATATTCCTCATTTATAATCAGAACAAATATGTACAAAATTAGAAATGTAAAATCTGCCCTTTCTAACCTGAGGCCCACGTTCCCAGATTTTATAGTAAATCCAGCACCCAACTCTCCAGATCTGTCACAGTCTGCTACTGGGATTAACTACTATCAACTCTAATATTAACGAATCGTTCTTTTTCAGTGCAACAGATCAAACCACTGCGACTACCGCAAATAACAGTGAATGATGAGAAGGCGATTTGGAAAAATAAAAATATCGTAAAAAACTATACCAAGAAGTGAGAAGAAAACCTAAAATTTTGTCGATAAACTATATCCTAAACTGACAAGCAACAGAATAAGCGATAAAGGATTACACTTAGTATTACATGCAAGAAAATTAAGCTGAAAAACACAAAATTCTTCTAAAAGCAAAAAAGACTAATCCAAAAAAATAAGGAAAAGTCAAACCTAAACTTACTTTACCTTTTACTACACACAGTAAAAATTCTACCACTATTATTGCTTTGAAAATTCTACTGTTACTTTTTAAGTACGATTACATTATAAATTTTCTAGCT